GCATGCCACGCCGGCCCCCGCCGGTCCCGCTGCCGCATTAACTCCTGCGTGTCCGGAGCCCCCGCCGCCTGACGCGCGCGGCCCAGAGGAGGGAGTTGGGTGGGGCCGATGCTGGAGCCTGAGCTCTCCTTGTCGTTGGACCCCGGCTTGGCTGAGACAGCGAGGAGGGGGCCCTGCGCCCGAGCTGAGAGGCGGACTGGGCGACTCTGCTCATTCTCCTTCTGACCGTCTTGCAGAGGCCAGGAGGACAGGAGGGAAATGCGGCCGCTGTTAGCGGATCGCTAGGACTCGTGGGCACCAGCGTGTATCCGAGACCACATTTTTGCTTGGCGGTGCTATCCTCGAAAGTTTACAGTGGACTAGGGAAGGTGCGGGTGGGTTCGGGTTAGAATTTGTCCACGGACACAAGCCCCTGTCACCCCAGTGAATGGAGTGGAATAGCCCCTGGGTTCTCGTGCCTCTCCAGCATTCTGGAAGAGCCCGTCCTGTGCTGGGTAAAGATCGGTCTCTCCAGGTAAGAGCGAGGGAGGAACTACCCCTCAGCCCTCACCCCCACCCCGTGGGTTTTACCCCGCAGACTGGCTATCCTGAAGACCGGAAGGAAGGAGAGCAGGGGCTACCGCCGGGTGGCTTAGGAAATTTGGGCCACTGCCAGCAGCGAGGGCACAGGAAAGCCGGCCTCCTGCTGGGGCGAAGGCTTCAGACCCAGGTCTTTGAGGGGACCCACTTAGAATGGACCCCAGCCCAGTGACAGGCCACACCCTACCGATGAGCTTCATCAGGGCCTGCCGAGCTAGTAATGGTGGTGGTGGGGGACACCTGTAAGGCCTGGTGTCCTTGGGCTGCCTTCCTGCACCCACGCTTGAGCACAGGGCCCCTGACCAGACAGACATGGACCCAGCTTTCTGGCCCTGTCTTTTCCAGGGGTGAACGTGGTGCTGACTGCCACGCCTGGAGCCTTTGTAGAGCGGGCTCCGAGATCTGTGTGTTTCTTTCCACAGAGGGATCTTCACTTACTCTATCCAATAAGCACACATTAAGTTCCCATCCAACCCCCTCACCGGCCACCCCTGCTATGGGACATAATGGCCTCAAGGATCTGAGAGGACAAAGTTGAAGCTAAAGAAATAAATTTTAGCGTTTCAAGGCAATGGCTGTACCGTAGAAATACAGCAAGAAAATGGCATTATGGGCTCGAGTTATTCATGGAAGGTTTTATGGAGGAGCTGAGCTTCCAGCTGAGCCCAGCTGGAGGAATAGGATTTGAACCAGCAGAGAAAATGGGGACCAGCAAGGCAGGAAAGTGGAGACAAGCAGAGAAAAATGGGTTGCCTGGAAAATAGGGGGCAAGGGAGGAAATTTACAGAGCACTATCCGACACGGCCTTTCACATTCCTCTCCCTCACCCCCGCTCCGAGCTGACTTACATCCCCGCTCCGCAGACTGAGGGACGGAGGTGCAGAGTGTGTGAGGAAGCAGCTCATCTACAGGCAGTTTGAGGCCTCTGGCTGCTCTAGAGCAGGTGAGTGGGCGCTGCTGCTGAAGGCTCGGCAGGTGAGCCGTGGCCCAGGACACAGTGCTTTGGGATGAGTGGGCAGAGCAGGGGCCAGGGAGGGAGGTGGCTGCTGAGGGGATGCAGGAGTTGCAGTGAGAGAGTGCAGAGCAAATACCTCGGGCTTTGGAAGGAACTAATTGAGCGAAAGTGCGAAAGTGTTCACAAGTTGACTCAAAGCTTTTGAGCCTGAGCACTTGCGTCCTTTGTCAAGAAGGCAGAACCATCTTCCCAGCCGGAAGGCCTATGTCAACATACAGAGACTGAAGAGGAAAAGGAGGGGAGCTGGCCAAGCCTTGGAGCTCCCAGCTCACCCCAGCACCCGCCTCCCTGGCCCTGTGCACAGGTCCCGGCTCAGTGCGCTTTACTGAGGCCCCGACGGCCCCACACAGCACCCTGTAGCTGAGTATTGAAGGCAAAAGTAGGAAGAAAGCAAAGCGTATTTGCAAAGTGGCTGATCCCTGAGTGGCAGAGGCAGACCCATACCCCGCCAGGTGAGCCACTGGGGCATTGCCAGGGCTACGAGAGAGCCTGGGGGAAGCCCGCTCTTGAGCTGACTCCAAATTATTATAAACCTGGGAGACTCAGGAAACTGTAGAGGTCCTAGCACTAGAGACCTGAGTTTTAAACTCTGCTCATCCATGTGTTCTGTGTTGCTTCAAGAGAAGCTCAAAACTTGCTGAGCTCTGATTCCTTCCTGTGTTAAAAAAGGTATTAATTCAAGCTGGACATGGTTCACACATCTGTATTCCTAGCTACTCCGGAGGCTGAGGCAGGAGGATCTCCAGCTTAAGGCCAATCTGGGAAACTTAGATCCTGAGATCCTGTCTCAAAATTAAAAATAAATAATAAATAGAAAGGGATGAGATTGTAGCTACTGGTAGAATGCTTGCCTAGTATGCACAAGCCCCTAAATCCAACCCTGGTACTGCAAAAAAAAAAAATTTTTTTTTAAATTCAAGTAATAGAAGTTAACATTTACTGAACACCTGCAAAGGTAATGATTTCATTTATGCATCATCATGCTGAAAATTTCACCAACTGCAGGACTCAGAAAATAGGGGGAAAACAAGGTCAAAGCCAGGCATGGCAGCACCTGCCTGTAATTCCAGCACTTGAAGCCTGAGGCAGGAGGAACGCCATTGGGGGTTCAGGACCAACCTTGGCAAAATTAGGAGATGCAATCTCGAAACAGCTAAACAAACCAAATGAACAAAACAAAGCAGCAAAATCAGGGTCAATATTCACAAGTAGTAAGTACATCACAGAGCTGAGACCTAAACTGAAGGCCATCTGAATGCAGTCTAAACGTGATGCAGCTGTGGGTGGTGAGCTCGGTGCCAGGCCCCCAGAGCCTCTCAGCAAACGGCAGCCACCTCTCTCTGCCTGGCTCCCATGGCTCCTGTTCTGAGGGGATACTTTCCTGGGAGAAGCGGGGTGGGGTGGGGGACCTCAATCCCCAGTCCTCTGAAGCTCTTAGGTAGTTACTCAGAGGATTTAATGGCTCTATTATTGACCTTTTGCCCTCCAAGTTTAGTCTCTGGGCTTAGCCAAGCAAAATATCCTGCCAGGAAGCCTGGGACTCTGTGACATCAGATTGTCCCAGGAGAGAATGCCAGGACCCCTTCCTCCCAGAAGTATCCTGAGTTCAACCACCCTGGGCTCTTCAGGGGAGGGATCTGGACTCTGAACTGGTGGGTGTGCTGTTTGTGTGGTGGGGGCTGTGCGGAGAGAAGCCTGGTAGATGAGGAAGGAAGATGGGGTGTGGTGGGACATCCTTTGGGGGATCCTCTGTGTTGAACATGGCTCTGCTAGCCTCCGGCTCAGCAGGTGCGGAACAGGGCCTTGGAGTCTCTGAGGACTGTGGTCTCAGTGGTGACCCAACTCAGGAAGGTGGCCCTAGAGCAGGGGTCCTCTGATGCCAGAGTCACCCATAGAGTATGCAAATCCCACCCCAGAGCAGGTTCCATAGCTCTTGGAATCCGCAATGCAATAAACGCTCTGGGTGAGTCTAACTCAGGTGATTGGACGGACCTTGCTTTGGGACATGCTGGCCCACCTCTTCCGGCCTGGGCCCTCCAGATACCGAGCTTTGTCCTCTGGAGCACTGGGGAACAGGGACAGGACGAGACAGAAGCATGTGCCCAAGGAAGCTGCTGCAGCTTGATCTTTGGGATGTCTTGCTTGGGGGACAGTGGCAGCTGGGAGTTGTAGAGTGTTATGTGGGGAGAGAAAGTCAGCTTGCAAATGCCAGGAAGCATTTTTATGTAAGCATTTTGGATAAACTGAATGGAGAGAGGTCGGGAGAGAGGGACCTGGATTTGCAAGACCTGTGTAAATTGTTGTGATCTTTTAGTGCTAAATTAAATATCACTGTTGGGGTTGATTTTATATTTACGATAGTGCATGCTTTTTTTGCCACACAACTGTGATGTTTCTCTGCCCTCTGCCCTCAAGGAGCTCCCAGGATCCACAGATACCCCCGGAACACACAGAACCAGAAAGGCAGGGGGACCTACACTGCAGAGACAGAGCTGTGTGGAACGGCAGGGAGTCCCCAAATTTATCTTGGATTATATCCTGGAGGAGGCATTGCGGGTAAGAATTCGTGTAGGATGAATCTGCTTCCGCCCAGAAACAATGTGATAGTGGAAATAACGTTCCTCACCCAGGTCTCGGGACCCACCTCTTTAAAGGCAGACACATCAACACCATATTTAATCAAAGGTGAATGGTACACCTGTCCTTTGTATTTCCTGAATTGAAACTGAGTATCTAATAGGGTAATCAAATCCCATTCTGTGTAGCTTAACATATTCAAACGGTCCCTCAAGGAAATGCCATTTGGGAAAAGGGGAGTATGGAAAAGACTGGGGAGTTTCTCCTCCCCCCGTAGAGGTAGAGGGAGGCTCTCAGAGGTCTGCAGCTGGGGGCAAGGGTTCTATGCCCATGGCACCCTGAACACAAACCAACCAGTGGCCTCCTGAGCAGCATAGCTGGCCAGCTCCAAAGTGGACATCTGTCAGGGAAGCGTGCCACAAGGACATCGGAAGTGGGGGACCTCTGAGTGGGCTTGGAGTAGCTGAACTGGGGCGCCCCTTGGAATTCTGATATAGAAAGGCTCTCTGGAGAGGACATTCTTCAGGAGGTACCGCAAGTCAGGAAGAATGCTAGGCCTCCGAAGGCGCTTGTCCCAGTTCCCAGGAATCCTCCATCCGGCCTGTGCTCCTCCTCCTGTCGCCCACAGCCTCTCGCGAGTACTTTGTCCCTGAGTGGTCATCACCAGTTTCCCTGCTACGCCGATGGTTTTGTGATGCAATTTGTTTCATTATTACTTTTGTTCCGGTTTCACGTAAACGTAGGCATGAACACTTAATCATGGTGTTCCAGGTACCGTGTATCTTTCCAGGAGGCATTGCCAAACCTGGGTTTTGTTTTGTTTTGTTTTGTCCGAAAGCCCTCAAATAAGATGCACATGAGGTATATCCATGTTGAGAATAAAATATTTTCTCAAATCCAGACTTTATACTTTGTATGGCTTCTGTGGACTGCCTGCTTTTCCAACCAGACTTTATTCATTCCTGAACATTTCATTTCCAAAATGGTTCACAGGGCAAGGAAACAGGGTCTCTGTGTCTCCTAATCCTGTCCTCCTTTCTTTGCACTGTTTCTGACCCCTATATTTTCCTTCTTATTTTCTCTCAGAAGAGAAGAGATCATTTCCCTCTGGTCTTACTTCCAATATCTGAATTAATTCCAACATAAATCTTAGGGCTTGTAGGGTTCTCCACAGATCATTCCTGAGATTTGTCCCAGCAGCTCCCACCTAGGTCTGTTTTTGCCTTCTATCTTCAGGGTTTCTTTGGGGGTGGGGGGGTCCCAGGGATCGAACTCCGCTCCTTGTGTTTGTGAGACAGGCGGTGGAACCACTGAGCTAAATCCCCGGCCCCTTATTTTTGCCTTCTAAATTGGTATTTCAGAAACACTTTAGGGGTGTGAGTAGGTGACAGATTCCTGAGCGTGGTGCCCCCCCCCATGAGGCTCAAGCTACATTGTTTCAAAAGCAGATACTTTGTGTCAACTGACCAAATTGTGGAAACACCATGGTAGATATCGTAGCTCCTGCTTCTATTGAGCCTGTCCATCTGGCCTTCCCTATTCCCAGCATCTTCACCTTCCACAAAGTGGGCGGTCTTTTTCTTCACTCCACCCTCATGGAGGAGATAATTTGAAGGGCCGCAGGAAGTTATTTGCCTCTCTGAAGCGTTTTCCAACAGTATAGATCGCATGAATCAGATCTCCCGTGCAGATGATGCCACATTTACCAAGAGATCGTGCAATCGGCGAAGGAAACTTGCTTCTTATGTATATGGCCATAGCCACGCTTGTACATTAGCACATTTACTGACTTCGGGTTGGGGTGCCCCATGCAGTATGTGGTTCCACAGTTCTCAGCATGTCAGCGACAAATGCCAGTTTGGATTCTGCAGGTACATAGAGCTTGCCAGCTTTTCTTGCAGTCCTAGCCACTGGGATCTCAGTCCTGCACATCTGTCTATACTCCTTATGGTAGTGCCTGGCTTTTTCACAGATGAGCGTCCTCCTTGCCTTTGAAGCATTTGGTGGGGGGACAAACTATTTCCTCAGGTATTTTACCTTCAGCTCTGTGAAATGTCTTTGCTTCTTTTTCTTCTCCTCGATACCCGCTGTGGTCCCGGCCAAGGAAGCGTTCCGGGTGCCTTCTGACCAGCTCCTGGAGCGGTTCGAGTACAGCAGTTCTGAGGAGCACACGTGGAGGGCACCGCTATGAACCGTGGAGAAGCCTCAGCCCCTTCCTGGAAGCCTTCTCCCGTCACACCCGACTCTACTTCTGCTCCGTTTTCCATCTGTAGGAATAGGTGTGCTTTGCACTACTTCATGCCTATTTTAGATCTGTGGCTTCTTGCCTGAAAGCATACTTTTCTAGGTATTAAATGAGTAACTCTCCCAGGGAGACGTATCATTCATTAGGACATTTTTGGAGTACCAGGGGCGGACCTTTCCCACGGCAGGCTTCCCCTCGTCTCTCCCTGCACGGCACACAGCCCTCCCCTGCGTGCCCTCGTCCCTCCCAGGCCCGAGCCTCTGGATGAGGGTCCCCACCTAGGAGCGCCCAGGGCAAGGGTGAGTGAGCCACGGCCAGAATCACACAGTACAGCTGAGTGAGTGGCTTGGCTCAGTTTGACAAGTGTTAACCACTAAGTCCAGAGCACCCTGGACTGCGGCTTCATCCAGGCCTCTCACCTCCGAGGAGCACAGCCAGCTGCACGGCAGAGGGCAGAGGGGCAGGACTAGAACTCGATGATGCAAAGGGTGCCCAGGTCCCAAGGAGCAGCCCGTGCTCATAGGACCTCAAGAATGAAGGGCTTCTTTGCTTCGGGCCCAGGTACCTCCCTGCAGGGCAGCCCGAGGCCAGCAGGCTGGGACCCAGATCCCGACCACACACTGCACAGGGCAGTTGGGAGGGCTGAGGAGCAAAAATGGAGCGGCTCTTCCCAAAGGCTGAGCTTGCTCCAGTACCCCCCCTGGGAGCTGCCTCATGCTAAGCCCCTGGGTGGAACTGGCCCGCACCCCTGTTCTGGGCAGGCTCACACTGGCTCGACCCCCGGCTGGGTAGAGCCCCAAACTGTTCTCAGCCCCATGCCCTCCCATTCCAAGTCCAGTGGGGATTTGGGTTTGGCAGATTTGTTTCCTTCCCCATTTCCCTCCCAAACTCTCCTCACAGAAGAGAGATTCCCACAGCCCCTGGAGCTGTCTGTGGAGGGATTAAAAGCACGACTGTGAGAAAGCTCACCCTTCTGTTTTATCCTGGCATCTCATCCCACAGCCACGTTCCTCCTGAGTGTGACCTCAGGGGACATGGAGAACGGCTTATCTCTGGTCACCAGTCGCTGTGCATGAGCACCCAGGGATCTTTGGTTCCTGAAGTCTCTTCTTCAGCACATTAGCCTAGCTGCTCTGTTCGAGATTTTTAATTAAAAGGAAAGTTAATTAAAAGGAAGTTAGAAGGAAAGGGGAGCAAGAAGAGGAGAACCTCACCTCCCCAAACCAAGGGAGACTGACACCCTGAAGTCAAGAGATGAGGGGTGACCCCTCTTTGCAGGCCAGGGCCTGGGGTAGAGTCCAGGTCCTCTGCCCACTGCTGTGTCCTTCTGCATGAGTGATCGATGAGTCAGAGCCTCCAGGGACCCGGCCTGTGCCTCCCAGAGGGAAGAGGGGTGAAATGGCCTCTGGGTTCACCTGGGCATCTTGCCACAGAAGAGTGGGATTTCCAGATTCTAGATCAGAGAGCAGAAGGCTAACAGCCTGGGCCCAGCTCTCAGCCTTCCCTCTCTGCACCCTACAATCTCAGGGACAGAGCATGGGGGGCTGGACTGAGTGACTCATGCATGTCATTTTCAAGCTGCTCTCTCTGCACAGAAAAGCACATTTGGATCCAGGTTTTAATTGTGTGTGATTTTAGCTGAGATGGCGTTAATTTATTTCCTTTGCTACTTCAGGGCTTCCTCCTCTTCCATCACCGTGAAATTATCTGGAATGTATCTTTCTTTCTTAAGGACAAGGAGACAATGCTGATCTGGCTCCTTTTCCACGGGTTGAGGCTCAGGACATTTTAGGGGCTGCCAGATGGTGTGTTGTGGGTGCTTTGGGATGCAGAGCCTGTGATCTCCTGCTCCCTGCCCTCTGCCCTTCCACAACTGCAGTGTGAAAGGAAAGACTTCACGCTGCCCGCAACTTGGGGAGGACCTTGGACAGCTCCTGCCGGCAGGGAGCTTGGGGGCCCTCTTCCTGGCTCAGCCTTCCCTGCCAGGGAGCACCCCAACGGCCATAAAGGACTTCTTGGAGGAAGGGGACAGTGTTAATTAAAGCAAGATGGGGCGAGAGGCCTCTGAGGCCCTGATAGGCGTCCTGAAGGTGATTTTTGTTGTGTTGTTTTTGTTGTTTTGAGACAGGGTAGCTCTTCGCAGCTTGGGCTGACCTCAAAATCATGGCAATCCTTCTGCCTCAGCCTCTCGAGTGCCGGGATTACAGGCGTGCATCACTACACCCAGCAGAAGGGGACTTTAGTCAGGAGAGGTCCTATCATTTGAGAAAGCTGTAGGGTCAGGATGAATCTTACAATGTGAAGGTACTACAACATATTCAGCACAGTACCGGTGTTCTACAAGAAGCTTAGTGTGTTACCATTGTTCCTAAGGTCCCTGGTGCCCCATGTCTTCCACACCCTCTGTTAAGAAGCTTTGGCTGTTGAGATGCTAATTTTCTAAAGGCACTTATGGACTGGCAAATCTCAGTCCCCAATGCCCGCTTGTTTGATAGAACTTATTTTTCAAATGTGACCACTTGCCCTGACACGGGCTTCGTTTGCTCTAGAGGGAAAACTAGCAGAGCTCCGGGCACACAGTAGGGCCTCAGCAGGCTTATATGGAAGGGGAGGGGCACTGGTCCACGGGCTCTGCTTGGGAGCCCCAGCAGGCAGGTGAGGTGGCATCTGGAGGAGGCGGGGGCTGGACAGTAAAACTCTTCAGTGAGCCCTGAACCCTCTCTGGTCATGTCCTTTATGCTCTGATCTCCTAGCACATGATGGTAGCTTAGAATCATCCCGGGCCACCCTTCTTTCTAGGGGTTTACTGGGGGCCGGCATCACTTGCCTGACTAAAGTGGCTTCCCTGCACTCCCTAGGTTCCCTTGAGTAGCTCCAGAGTTCACAGAGCTCTGCTGCCAGTTGCCTCCGGTCGCTTCCCAGCTGTGTCAGCCCCAGCCCCACTCTCTGAAGGTCAAGAACGTCTTCCTTTCTCATCCAGGGCCCAGCCTAGACCTAGTGGCCACCGCCAAGCATGGAGACGCCGGCGGTTCCAGATGGGGATGGTCCATTGGCCACAGTAAACCTGCTTGTCATACAGCCCAGCAGTTACCTTCCCAGGCATTTGTCCCATGTACACGAAAAACTGCACATGATTGTACGTGGCGGCCTTGTTCGTGATAGCCTTAGATCGGAGATAACAGAAGCGTCACTCGGGAGTGAATGATTAGACAAACTGTGGTACATCCGTGTCGGCAAGGACTAGCAGCAACAAAAAGGATGGACTGTGGGTGTGTACATCAACTCGCATAGGTCTCAAGGGCATTATGTTGAGTGAAAAAAACTTTCAAAGGTCACACAGCGCATGATTCCATCCCTGTGACATTCTCAGAATGAGAAAATTATACAGGGGCAACAGACTGAGTGCCGGGGCTTGGGGAGGAGCGGTGTGGAGTGACCGAATCTGCGACTGGAATAGTCCTGGGCCGATGGCGGTGAAGGCGTGAATCTGCACGCACGACGAAAGTGCACAGAGCTAAACCCATTTCTCAGCTTTGGTAGTAATTGCACTGCAGTTGTGTAAGATGGTTACCACTGGGGAAAACTGGGCCAAGAGTACGTGTCCAGATTGCTCTGCTGTTTTGTAGAAATATGCACCTATTGTCCAATGAATTTATAATCATTTCAAAATTTTTTTAAAAATTTAAAAACTTCAAAAACCTTTTATGTTGCCACTCTTCCTCGGCCCTGGGTCTGCCTTTGATCTCTGGCATGGTTTCCAGGGTGGTCTTGGCACCCCGAAAGTCCTGATCTCCTGGAAGTCCTGAAT